ATTTTGATGTTAAGTGCTCACATGTTGAAGGACAATGTAATGTCAATAAAACAAACAATAAAACTCATCGCCAAGGCTACGTAAGTCAAGTATGGTAAAGATCTTGTCAACAGCAGTGACCCATCTAAAGGTGCATGATCCAAGACATATTTATTCACAACATTCAGCATGAGTCAACACATCGGCAACTGGGTCGCCCTTTGGCTTGCCTGTATACGACTTTGTCGTCGCCATGACAGTAGTTGGGTCTGTCTCTCTTGATCGTGTCAACACCGCAAGAGTCATTTTCAGGGCTACTTGGCAGCCAGCAATGTTAAGTCATTTTATATGGTGCAAATTACCTAGCCACAATTATTAATGAATGTGACAATTTTTTTTTCCCGTAAAGCAAGTCAAGTCAACACCATGCCAGCTGCTTTTACTTTCCATATTTATTAATGCCACAATGTAGTAATTTCAGCATGATTTCCTTCACTGTTTTGTTTCTTGTTGTATACTGATGAAGTCTTATCACCACAACATCCTTTGTTTATCATAATTGTATCATGTAAAGCTCACGTGCATTTGTATTTTTTCTAACATTTTGAAAAAAAAATCTCCACTGATTTTGCATTTTAACGATGACCTTTGAGCAGGTAAACAAGCATGAAACACTAATTAAATAGCAATTATGAATTAATCAAGTAACAGAAAGTGTATTGATCGGCACTCATAGAAAGAAGTAGATAGATAGAAGAACACACTAGACAACATAAAATCTGTTGTCTAGTGTGTTCTATCTATCTACTTCTTTCTATGAGTGGCAATCAATACACTTTCTGTTACTTGATTAATTCATAATATTTAACAGCCTCAAAGTTTCCCCCTCTGTTTATTTAAAGACAATTTAATAGCAATAAATATGAACAAATGATTGAATATATTTGGCACTCCACTGAACTAAGGAAAAACACACACATAAGTATGTGAAACAATATACAGTAAGAGTGAAGACTAGTAAAAGAAAAAGCCTGAACAAATGAGAGTCTAACAAATAATAAACACCCGATGCAAAATAAATTTAAAGATAAATAACAAATCCTGAGCAAGATAATTATTATCAAGACAAATGAGAATTCCTGAACAAGACAATAATTACCAGGACAAGTAAAAAAATTCTGGGAAAAAAATTAAAGGAGAAAATAATAAATAAAAGAACAAGTAATAAATCCAGGACAAGATAATAAATTTGAGCATGAGGTGTGAATCCCAGACAAAATCATAACTAAATTTGATGACAAGTAATAAATGTAGAGAAAGGTCATAAATTTGAGGACAAGAATAAATCCTGGACAGGTTAAAATTGTAGGACAAATAATATTTCAGGACGAGATAAACTGACAAATTTGTGACAGAGGTAGCTAATGTGATGTCCCTGCAAGCAGTTAAGGTGGTACTCACAAATTAAAATGTACATCAATCAAGAAAATGAAGTAATCAGAATAACAAGGACATGATTTATAATGTTATAAACTGAATAAAACAGCTGTATGTATATTTCATCTTTACATGGGTGTACTAATATATTACAAACAAATTTAAATTCTTTAAAAATAAAATGTGCACACACAAAAAAAATAGCTGGTGAATGTTATTTATTCTTGCAGGATGTCTGACAAAAATATTGATATTTCAGATAAATATATTCTAAGCTACTGAATAAATGGGATTCGTAGCAGTGTAACGCTATGCACTCGCCTGCCAACCTGAGGGGTTCAATTTGTATTGAGGCAGATTTTGTTATTTAGCTGACCTTGGCTCCCATTCTGCCCATCTGCTCTTTGGAAATTATAATTGTTATGCACAGTGTAGTTTTTGAAATAGCAAATCCCTGTCAGTAATTCTCAAGAACTGTTGAATCCATCTCTTCAGTTCTCTACAATGTTTAATCCATCTCTGCACTTCTCTAGAACTGTCTAATCCATCCATACAGTTTTCTATAACTGTCTAATCCTACCAAACAGCTCTCCAGAACTGTCCTATTAATCCAGGGCTAGTCAACTAAGTTTGCTCAGGGGCCAAAATTGTGAAAATGTGTGTGTGTGTGTGTGTCTTTTTGACAATGTGTGTCTGTGTATGTATGTGCGTATGTGTGTGCATTATGTGACTGTGGGTGTATATCTGTGTCTGTCTGTGCGTATCTGTGTATGTCTCTATGGGTGTGTCTATTATATATTGTCTGGTGTGCGTATGTCTCTGTTTGTGTCAGTTTATGTGTCTGCGCGTATGTGTGTCTGTGACTATGTGCATATCTGTGTGTGTATCTGTGCATGTGTGAGTGTTGTGTATGTCCCTGTGTGTGTCTGTGTGTTTCCCTACCTGCATGTGTGTATGTGTCTGTGTGTGTGCCTGTGGCTGCGTGTGTGTGTGTGACTGTGTGGGTTTATGTCTGTGCGGGTCGGTGTGTATGTGTTTATAGGTGTCTTTTTATGTGGCTACGTTTGTGTATGTGTGTGTTTGTGTGTCTGTATAGCTGTGTGTGCCTGTATGTGTTTGAGTTGTATGCGTGTGTTTTTGAGTGTGTTTCTGTGAGAGTGTCTGTGTGTGTGACTGTGTGTATAAGTGTGTGTGTATATGTATGTATGTTTGTGTGTGTGTGTATGTGTGTGTGTATATGTGTGTGCATGTTTGTATGTATGTGTGTGTAAGTGAGTGAATAGCTTTGCGTGTGCATGTGGGTGTGTGTGTTTGCGCGCGAGTGTACGCATACATTTCAACACCCATGCTTTTGTTTTTGACTTAATATTTATAATATGCATATCATTACATGAACATAAAATGCTTTATTGATAAAATACAACTGCTGTGTGAAAGAAGGGAGTTCGGAAGGGCCGAATGTAAGACAGGCCTGCCTGCCTAATTTGTGACTCTTTGAATATAAAGTTCGTTCATTCGAACTATCTAATCCATCCATGTAATTCTCTAGAACTATCTAATCCATCCTTGTAATTCTCTAGAACTGTCTAATCCATAATTAATATTCTCCAGAATTGTCTGATCCATCCCTGTAATTATCTAGAACTATCTAATTCACTCCTGTAGTTCTCTAGAACTATTTAATCCATCCCTATAATTCTCTAGAGCTATCTAATCCATTCCTGTAGTTCTCCAGAACTATTTATTCCACACATGTAACTCTCTAGAACTATGTAACCTATCCCTGTAATTCTCTAGAAATGTCTAATCCATTCCGGTAGTTAGTTTTCTACAACTGTCTAGCACCAGCAAGTTCCTATCGTTGTTAGAATTTACTGTCTTTTAAGTAACTAATGAACATGTGATGAGTAGCATCGGACTGAAAGAGTTAACATCACCTCTGGACAGCCAGCGTGATGCTGACAACATCACCCATCTTGTGCCAATCGGTCTATAAAAAAAAATAGCTCTAGCCCTATATGCCCTATACGCCTATAGGCGTGGAAAAGGGTCTGTTACTTTTTAGTTATTGCCTCTGAAATGAAAATCTACAACACTGAAGTATTTTAAGTAGAGGGCCTGATAAATACGTTATGTTACACAATAAAGATGCTGACCACATTTCCTATCTAGAGCCGATTGGTCTGTACAGATATAGGTGCTCTTCCATATGCCCGACGCACCTAAAAGCGTGAAAAGGGATCTTTACTTTTTTTACTTTGCAACTTAAGCTGGGGTCAATGGCAGAGCTTTGGGAAGACTCTAGTCTGTCAGCACAGATGTACATATGCACACATCTATCTACACAAATACTCATTCATACACACATGTATACATTCACATACATGAACACACACACACACACACAGAGATGCATGTCCCACATACTAACTTATTATACACAAAAAACATTCTGGGAAGACTAACCCGGTCAACAAATGCCTGCAGAAGTCAGATATGTTGGCTGAAAGGTGCAAATATTGCGGCCGTGCCGTGTACGAGCACAACACAATTACATCTTCAGATGTCACCTTATGGCTGACACATCCAACTTCTGCAGGAACATTTTTTTATACCTGACCTTGAGCTGGGAGACTGACCCATCGTATAATGGGTACCAAGGAAATGTTCTTAGAAAATACTGTTGCCATGCTACTGGCACACGAGGTATACGGTGCTACACCCACATTTGTACAGACCCATCATCAATCAGCAGATTATCCCCCTTGCCACAGCACTCCTGAAAGTCTCTCTTTCCCTAGCCACTTCTTCAACCCCATGTGCTTTCACAGAAATTGCATCTTCAATGTCTTGTATTAACCTTCGCGGAGGTCTGCCTCTGCCTAATTTTCCAGAAACTACCCTTTATCACTGTTTTCTCCAGGCTACCCATACCCCAACTTTCAGGACCAGATGCTGTTTATGAGCCAATTCTCCTCAATGTTCAGAAAAAATTAAATTGATTTCTTCTTCTTGGTCCATTGTTTTTCTAAAAAATTCTATGTAGCGATTCAGTTCAAAAGGTCCGGTTTTTCTTCAATGATTGAGAAAGAGTCTATTAATCATATTTTGTAAAGAAAAATAAGCTCTAAATGGGTTATGTGGTCAACATCATGCAGGCCACTCTGATTTCCCAGGATACTTCCAGGCCCTTAAAGGTTAGGTTGACCAGAGAGCCCAGGTTTTTTTTAAACAATAAAAATCACTCCAAATATAAACTTCCAGATATTCTGGTTGGCATACAAGCATCAAGCCACAGAAAACTGGCTCCTGTATTTGAAAATTAAAAGATATTTTATTAGGAATAGATCAGCAGATCTCAGATAAGATTGTCATTTCTTCAAGATTGTCATTCCTCTGAGATTGTCACATAAACATATTTGCAGTCAAACAGCGATTCTGTTCTTCACTTCTGTAACTGTTTCAAGAATTACTTTCTTTTCCTTTACACATCTTGCTGACTGAAGAAGGTGACGATGCCCTATCACAACTCATACATATTAAAACCTGAATAATTCTTGGCTCTACTACCTGTTTGAGGTCTTTCAACTATTAAATGCAGACACTGTTTCTTTCTTTTCTAACTCAGTCAACAAACTGCTGTCTAAAAGATCTTGATCGTCACTAAATGATGCCGTCAGTGATGAGGATGATATAGATAATGGAGATGATAAAAAATGCTGAGGTGACACTGACTTCAAGTCTCCATCAACACTGATGCCAGAACGTGAAGAAGTTTCAGAGCTTTCTCCTGCCATTGAGACAGGCCTCGATGACAAGGGTGATGAAAAGAAAGCCTGGGTAACATGTCGATGACACTCCTCCTGAGTATGTTTTGCAGTGTCTGAACTGTGGGGATCACCTCCTCCTAACTGAGAAACTTTATTATCATTTATTGTCTTCATCTCCTTCTCAGCAGAGGATCTAAGTGTTTGTGCGGATGGGGATGTCATTCTTCCCGCCTCTTGTGAGGGTGAAGGTTCAGAAACACCTGAAGACATATCAAACTTTTCTGATGTACGCGTCTGCAAGGTACTATCCGAGTCAGCACGCCCGCACAAATCGGTACCAGATTTTGGCGTGAATTCGTGTGAGAGGAGTAGGTCGCGCAGCTGTGAGGATGACCGGGTGATGGATTCCACACACAGGGACATTCTGTCCTGCTGTCTCTTGGTTGAGTAGGAATACACAAGGTCCCGGACCGCTCTGCAGATCTGAATATTGGCCGAGGCGATACTCATGCACAGTCCTGTGAATGTTTCAATAATACACTTTGAGAAATTGTGTGTGTGTGTGTGTGTGAGAGTGTGAGAGAGAGAGAGAGAGAGAGAGAGAGAGAGAGAGAGAGAGAGAGAGAGAGAGAGAAAGAGAGAGAGAAGGAGAGAGAAAGAGAGAGAAAGAGAGAGACAGACAGATAGACGGACAGGCAGGCAGACAGACGGACATAGGGAGGACAGGGTGATACAGGAAGATCTCTTAGGTAGAGAAAGACAGAGAGGGAAAAGAAAAATGGGAAGAAATGATGTTACAAAATCTGCTGATCATTTGGGTAGAATACCCAATATGCAAAAGAGGGAGAGAAACAGAAATTGGAGTTATGATATAATTCCACTGATCTCTTAGGTAGGGAGATAAAGAGAAAATGAGATGTAGGGAAAGATGTTATCACAAGCTCCACCAACTGAAAGAGGGAGAAAGTGCAGGAGAGAGGGAGTTATCATAAGTTCTGATGATGTGTAAAGAGGATCTAAGTGTTTGTGGGGAGGGGGGTGACAGAGGAAGGAAAGGGTGATGTCACAGGTTCTGATTATTCCTTTGGTAGAAAGGGAGGACCACATCTCTGAGACTGTAATGGATTCTTTAACTTTACTTACCAGAATTCGCCCGTGTGTCACCGGGGCCCTCACGGGAAGCAAAGAATAGTGACACTGCACCCTACCAGGCATGTCGTAAGAGGCGACTAAGGGTAGGGTTGGGCTTGAGGTTGGCTACCTCATCCTGTAAAAACCATAGCCACAAAAACCAACCAACCATGGATAAGTCAAAAAGAGAAGCAAATAAAATCCAGCCAACCAAGATAAGGGGAGGCTCTTCAAATAGAAGAAGTATGACACGGTGTGGAGAAAGCCGTAAGGAGTCCGGATCGTTGACTTACCTCCTCTCAGCTAGGAAAACCTCCAGAATTGGCACCTGGAATAATAAAGGAAGGCCAAAAAACACATGGAGAAGAGAGCTGGAGAAAGAGGTTAGAAAAATTGGGAGGACGTGGGGAGAGCTCCATGTAATGGCGAAGGATAGAACGACTTGGCGTGAGTTGGTTGAGGGCCTATGCTCCATTGGGGGATAGAAAGGTGGAAGAAGAAGACCAGAATTCACAGCTTATCATAATGTACTCAACTGCTACACCAGTGGAATAATTAACAACTTTCGACACACTGAAAGATACCTTTGATTAACAAGGCAAATCCAATGGTAATTATTTTTAGCCAACTTTATGCTGCCAGTGTCAAACATGGGACCTTACTACCACTAATCAATGCAACATTTGCTAACGGCACCATTAGTATTGGAACTCTTCACTGGCGGCTGAAGATGAGGACAGAGCGCTTATGGAAATGCCCCGAGTGCTGTGATGTCAGTTCTTGAATGAACTCAACTAACGAATGCAAAATTATAACAGAGAGATGTCTTGGAAGAGCTGCCGGAGTAACAAGAAGAGATAACATTAAAAATTAAATCATAAGAAGCCCGGGGCTGAAACTAGTCATTTAGTTCATTAAAGAGCAGCAGTGAATGCCATAGTGCCAGCTGCCTCAGAAGACCATGAAGAAGAATTACGGGTCCTTTTGTAATATCCTAGCCCAGATGATGTCACAGGACAGTCCAACATTTTCGAGGATGGTAGGACTGGATTTCCCAGCTTCATGATGCTTTTAAGGACCCTAAAATATCTAGAACTCGCCCTAACCTCAACCCACCCACGTTCCACAAGAAAGTGCATCCTAAGTCCCACTATTGCATGCAGCCTAGGTCCCACGACTGCGTGCAGCCTAGGTCCCACGATTGAGTGCAGCCTATCTACCACCCTCTGAAACATCAGACCTTCCCGTGACCTGTGGATTTCCCCTTTTTGGTGTAGGATATTAAGAAAGCATCAAAATACAATGAACACAGAGCAAGGAGGGGACCACAGAAAATATGGAACAATGGCATAAAGACTAGCTTTAAAGAAATAGAGAACTTATACATTGTATCAGAAAGAGCACGCTGATTGTTACATCTCTCATGAACACTTTGATGAGGTTACCAGATAAAGAAAAGAAGCTGATTCAGTAGCTGACTGTGGATAAGCTGCCAGCTGTCATGTTAGCAGCTCATGGATAAGAATTTTAACTCACAACTTGGAGGACTTACTGGTGCAGTTCTTTTTCTCCTGCTCCAAACTAAATACAAACCCTCAACTAACCAAACGTGCAAGCTCTTTGTAGACATATAGAGAACAGGCTGTTGTTTGACAGTGGTTTATTTAGTGCTAGTAAAAAAAAGTGAAGAGTTCTCATAAACCAACTAGAGAGAAATGTTATACAGGTACAGCAGTAGTAGAGGTTGACCATGCAAAAGAATGGACACGGAAATATCGGAGACACTGAATAGGACACCAAACAGGAAGCAAACAAAAGGGTCTGTTCAGAGATCTCTTCCCGCTCTGACGATGCAAGGCATTTTAGAAGTAGAGAAAAGAAGCCAGACGACATTATCTTAAACTGCCAGATTACACAATACTGACTGGGGTGCTAAATGTTTGCAGTGCATTGAACATCAACCCTTGGCAGCAGAATGGAGACTAAGGCTGTCACTGTGGCACTGAGTCATGGATAATCACATCTGTAGGTGAATTACATGTAGGAAGAAAGATAATTCTTATTTATCACACCTGCTTCTTGATAGGTATGCCTTACAAGACAACTAATTAAGGAGCTGCTGAAATTGGATGTCTTGAGATGAAAGGCACAGAAATCACAGCCTAGCTTTAAACCACAAGACAACATGGCCACCGCCCTTTTAAAGGCAAGCACAGAAGAAGAAATGTCCACTAAGACTTACCCAAGATAGACTTGTATGCCTCAAGACCTTCCGCAGACAACACAGCAGGAATGCCAACGAAACTGCCCTCTGAGGCAAAATTTAGCAGAGCTCCACTGGTGGAGATCACAGGGTCACAGAACGTGACCACCCGCCTGAAGTGTGTCTCTGATGGCTGGTGTTTGAAACTCTTGATGCTGGATACCAGACAGCCTGTAGTTGATGTGATGGCTTTCACACACAATTTAAACTGGTCCTGTGGACATTGTGCAAAGAAAATATATAATCTCTCTCTCCATCCATATGTCTGTCTGTCTATCAATGTATCTTTTTATCTATCTATTTATGCAACCATCCATCCATCTATTTTCTATCTATATATCTACCTATCTATCTTATCTGTTTGTCTGTGGGTCTGCCTGCCTGCCTGTCTTTTTATCTACTGATATATCGCCCTACAACACATGGTCATCAAGATACTGCTGACTGACTGATTGTGTCTTTACATTTCTTTCCAACTGCAATGAAATTGTTTTCTTATTAAATCTGTCACTATGAGAAGCCACAAAACTAACACTTCCAGGTGGGACCAATTCACTGCTAATGTCATTTTCCCCACTTGTGTAGAGACCTGCTTACTAGAGGTGTAGTTAATGTTTTTGGCCGTGTTCACGTCTGCACAAACAGTTATGAGGACAGGATGAGAATATATTAACCAAAAACAGCATTTAGGGGAATTTCCCTCAAACCAAACAGTTTTGTTCAAAACCAAGTTGATATCAAGTTTTCATGTAAGCCTCACTGATAGAGGTCATAAGATAATGGCATGAGTCACCTGATATCTATTATTTTTTTAGCCCCAGGGAGTGATTTTTTTTTAATGCTTCACTCTGTTCATGTTAAATGATTACTCCCTTTGCATATTTCAACAAAACAAAAAGTAAAACAATCTATATAAATAAAAGTTTTTTTTTTTTTTTTTAAATTTGTGTTAAATGGTTGTTTTCAAAGGATTTTTGTTAGAATTCCCACGGGTCAGGACACATATTTTTTTAGGTTACCAGGGCAAAGGTGTTAAGGAATATCTCACAACTTGGAGACCAACCAACCACCTCTCCCCCTCCCCCTCTCCAATAATTAGACAGCAATTGAGTATGAGAGATCTGTCACTTGCACACACCAAACTCCTCCCACTACTACTTCCAACATATCACCATACTCAGACCATACTACAATAAAATAGCATCTAGAATCATAGTTGGACTTCATCAACCATTTCATTATTATATGCCTAACCTGCTTTTATTACAGAAAGACACCCATAAGATTGCTAATATCACATGTAAATTATTTACACAATTTCAGATCTGTCCAAACCCAGAAACTGTTTTCAGTACTTTTGGCAAATTAAAATAATCAAAATTGTGAGACTATAAATGATGGTCACATAGGACATTCCTGTAAAAGAAGTCTTGAACTAGCCCGGTCTCTTACGAGATACCTTGCCCAAAAATAGAAAGGAAGAAATTCAGGAACACATTAGATGAGACACAGTCAAAATACTAGGGAGATTGAACAGGTCAGAGGAATACCCACGAGGCAAAAACCAGCAGTAAGATAAGATAAACAGGATCACACTGACACAGACAGGAAGGAGCCGTCATATCTTTTAGGTTTAGGGACAAAAAGCCAGCAAGAACACATATACCACAAAATTAGCCAAACACTTGACGCAAATAAAACAGATCATAAACATAACTGGAGAGAACGTGAACATCCTTTTAATTGTTTCTAAGATGGAACTGGAACTGGCACTAAAACATAACACAACCCTTGACCCGTTAGAGTCATGGAGAAGTATGGATGGAAACACTAGCACACAAAACATAACACAACCCTTGACCCGTTAGAGTCATGGAGGAGTGTGGATGGAAACACTAGCACACAAAACATAACACAACATTTGACCCGTTAGAGTCATGGAGAAGTGTGGATGGAAACACTAGCACACAAAACATAACACAACACTTGACCCGTTAGAGTCATGGAGGAGTGTGGATGGAAACACTAGCACACAAAACATAACACAACCCTTGACCCGTTAGAGTCGTGGAGAAGTATGGATGGAAACACTAGCACACAAAACATAACACAACACTTGACCCATTAGAGTCATGGAGGAGTGTGGATGGAAACACTAGCACACAAAACATAACACAACCTTTGACCCGTTAGAGTCGTGGAGAAGTATGGATGGAAACACTAGCACACAAAACATAACACAACCCTTGACCCGTTAGAGTCATGGAGAAGTGTGGATGGAAACACTAGCACACAAAACATAACACAACACTTGACCCGTTAGAGTCATGGAGGAGTGTGGATGGAAACACTAGCACACAAAACATAACACAACATTTGACCCGTTAGAGTCATGGAGGAGTGTGGATGGAAACACTAGCACACAAAACATAACACAACATTTGACCCGTTAGAGTCATGGAGGAGTGTGGATGGAAACACTAGCACACAAAACATAACACAACACTTGACCCGTTAGAGTCATGGAGGAGTGTGGATGGAAACACTAGCACACAAAACATAACACAACCCTTGACCCGTTAGAGTCATGGAGTAGTGTGGATGGAAACACTAGCACACAACTCGCCATCTTTCTTGGTCTTCCGTTTGATGAATAAGTGTGTGATAACTTAGTCCTGTCCATTTCCTGATGTTGTCAGTCCAGGATTTTCTTTGCTCTCCTCTTCTTCGACTAAATTCCCCCCGCCCCCTCCCATGTTACTTGAACTAGTTTTTGAAAATCAAATCACATCTCGCCACATGCCTGAACCAAATAAGCTTGCGACATTTCACCATTGCCAATAGAGGCTGTCAATATCCTGCAAATTTGTATATTTTGTCTCTGACATATTCGTTAGTTTTCTGTTCTAAATAACTAATCTGTAAAATGTATTTACATCCGAAAGCCTGAAACTATAAGAAGACTCGCATTTAAGCCACTGTAAAATAATAATGACAGCACAGAAATCTAGACAATAAGAAGACTTACATCCACACCACCACTGTAATACAATGTTAAATGACATCAAAGAAATCGGAACTAGTCACAAACTCAGGCCCATCTAGGTCAGTCTGCCCAATTTACACACTTATGATTGGCGAAGCCCGACCAGGACACTGTGATTAGATGATCAGCCTCCGCCTTAAGCTGTCAGGCGGTCAAGTGTAAGTGGCAGGGGTGTCAGTTATCTCTCTAGTGTAAATGTTGGAGTGTGGACAGGTAAACGTTGTACTGCACTGGCTTTTCTGAGCGGTGTCATATATAGTATTAGTGTTTGTTGGTGAGTAAAATACAGCCGTCTAGAATTTTGCGTATGAAATGTGTTTATTGCAGAGGGTAGGGTTCAGTGTCTGCAATGACACAGCATTGTGCGGACCACCGCAAAATTGTAAGAAGTCTGAAACCACGGCACATGGAATGCACTGTCTCATGGGACCTAGGTTAAGTGTATGGCGAATGTGGGTTTAGGTTAGGGCCGGCTGTAGATGTTATGCGGTTGTTAAAAATCGCTCACTTGCTCTAATATAGAGCTGGCGTGACGAGAGTGAGTTCTCGATGTTCTGAGGTCGTAAATGTGTGTCATAATTTGACACGCATCGGACACAGGCAGGGCAACACCCCTCTAGCCTTGACAGAAGTTGACTGGCCTCAGCAGGTATGAATGAAAAGTTGCCTAGTGTGTAAATGGGCGGAGCTGACCTAAATGGGCCTGAAAACGTGACATGTTTCCACAAATCTATACATAAAGTTATTACCATAGGGAAAAATACATAAGCAATAACCATGGGGAAAAGTAAAATAGAAATTACCACTGGGAAAACTACATGAGTAATCAACATGAGGAAAAGTACATGGACAGAGTGTTTATGGGCCCAAACAGAAGCTAGAGAGAACATCATCGCAGGAACAAGTAAATGTGAAATCACCATTGGAAAAAAAATACATGCAAAAAAATACATGGAAAGTACATGAGCAATCACCAAATGGAAAAGTAAACATGGGCAATCACCATGCAGGAAAAGTACACCATTAATCACCAAGAGGGGGAAAGTAGATCAGAAATCACCATGGAGACAAATACATGGAAAATCACCTTGGAGGAAAAAGTACAAGGGGAAAGTAAATGAGAAATCACCATGGAAAAAGTACATGGCAAATCACTATAGGGAAAGGCACATGGAAAAAGTGAATGAGCAGTCACCATGGGGGAGAGTACACAGGCAATCACCAATCTGGAAAAAGTACATAGGAAAGTAAATGGGAAATCACCATAGAAAAAGTACATGGCAAATCACTTTAGGGAAAGGACATGGGAAAAAGTGAAAGAGCAGTCACCATGGGGGAAAGTACACAGGCAACCACCAATCTGGAAAAAGTATATAGGAAAATCACACCACTGGGGAAGGTACATGAGCAATGACCATGAGGAAAAGTTTATGGGCAATCACTATGGAAAGTACAAGAGCAAACACTAGGAGCACCAGGAAACACACCTGATCGTTTGAATCTGATATCTTGTCTGCTGCCTGCCTGCAGATGTCAGCATTTCAACTTTTGTCGCTCACTTGCTCTAATATAGAGCTGGCGTGACGAGAGTGAGTTCTCGATGTTCTGAGGTCGTAAATGTGTGTCATAATTTGACACGCATCGGACACAGGCAGGGCAACACCCCTCTAGCCTTGACAGAAGTTGACTGGCCTCAGCAGGTATGAATGAAAAGTTGCCTAGTGTGTAAATGGGCGGAGCTGACCTAAATGGGCCTGAAAAAGTGACATGTTTCCACAAATCTATACATAAAGTTATTACCATAGGAAAAAGTACATAAGCAATAACCAGGGGGAAAAGTAAAATAGAAATTACCACTGGGAAAACTACATGAGTAATCACCATGAGGAAAAGTACATGGACAGAGTGTTTATGGGCCCAAACAGACGCTAGAGAGAACAACATCGCAGGAACAAGTAAACGTGAAATCACCATAGGAAAAAAAAATACATGTAAAAAAAATACATGGAAAGTACATGAGCAATCACCAAATGGAAAAGTAAACATGGGCAATCACCATGCAGGAAAAGTACACCATTAATCACCAAGAGGGGGAAAGTAGATCAGAAATCACCATGGAGACAAATACATGGAAAATCACCTTGGAGGGAAAAGTACAAGGGGAAAGTAAATGAGAAATCACCATGGAAAAAGTACATGGCAAATCACTATAGGGAAAGGCACATGGGAAAAAGTGAATGAGCAGTCACCATGGGGGAGAGTACACAGGCAATCACCAATCTGGAAAAAGTACACAGGAAAGTAAATGGGAAATCACCATAGAAAAAGTACATGGCAAATCACTTTAGGGAAAGGACATGGGAAAAAGTGAAAGAGCAGTCACCATGGGGGAAAGTACACAGGCAACCACCAATCTGGAAAAAGTATATAGGAAAATCACACCACTGGGGAAGGTACATGAGCAATGACCATGAGGAAAAGTTTATGGGCAATCACTATGGAAAGTACAAGAGCAAACACTAGGAGCACCAGGAAACACACCTGATCGTTTGAATCTGATATCTTGTCTGCTGCCTGCCTGCAGATGTCAGTCATTGCGGTCAAGGACTTGGTTAGCACGCTGCACAGGTCCACCTGGAGAGTATCAAGATGACAGCATTATCTTAAAAATGCCAGATTACACAATACTGAGATGGGTGTTATATATCTGCAGTGCATCAAACATCAACTCTTGGTAGCAGAATGGAGACTGAGGCTGTCACTGTGGCATCGAGACACTGACAATCACCTGTGTTAGCAATTTACACAAATTCTTATCACACACGCCGGTGTGCTGGAAAATGAACAGGCGGACAGACTGGCTGGCTCTGCACAAATTGGTGGAATACTGATACATGATAAGGCAGACGTGGTTAGTGCCTTGTGGGAGAGCGTGTACAGTTCGGAGGAGCAGATGGATCACCACAGTCTGGTGAGATTGATGCAGGGGGGAGTGACGAGAGGTTCTGGCAGATGCTCGAGACTCAGAGGAAAGGCAAGACGTACATTTAATCAGAATGATACTGGCACCATTAGTTTCGGAACTCTTCATTGGCTGCTGAAGATAGGGACAGAGCGCTTATGGGAATGCCCTAAGTGCTGTGATGTCGGTTTTTTAATCAAATCAAACAAGTTCTTATCTACAACTCTCAGTCTTAGTCTGAAAAGTGGAGATGTCTGTGGCAACATTCTATTTTTCTACATTCTATTTTGTTTTTTGTTCTTATAAGACATGTTTGGTGTGATCCAGGTGGCCACTAGGAACCAAGTCTGTTGATAAGCCTCACACATCGAGGCACCTGATTTTTTTGGCCAGTGAGAATGAATCATGTTCTAGCAACTTCATTAGATCTCTATGCAAGGTCAATGAAGCTAATATGGAAATCTCTGTTTTGTTTTGCATTACTAAAAAAAAAAAAAAAAAAGATTTTATAGGATGGGGAATGGGAAAAGGAGATTGCATTATTTAAGATATATTCATCTGCATTATCTTAACTTGCTGTCTCCAGAGCACCTGCGTGAACAGCAAACTAAGCAGGCACATGTGCGGTAATCACATACAACTCACCATGAATAGGGTACAAAAATCTCGGAAGTCTCCACTCTCAATAGATAAGAAAGAGAAGCAAAGTTAGCTGTATTGCAGAACCAGCTCCAGTATTCTTTTTTTTGGCTGTTGTAGTTTTTATAGGTGAATTTTATGCTCAGAAGTTTGCCACTGCTTACTGAACGGTCGGCTCTCGATATCACTGTCGAAACCAATGCAAGACAAATCGTCGACAGCTGGGTTTAAACTCGGCACCCCAGCATTACGAAGCGTGTTTGTAACACCTTATCCACAGAAGGCGACTCATTCAATAGGTAAACAGCATTAGAAATACACACTTCACGTCCCCTGTAACTACAGCCATGGACATGCTAGAGTAGAGTAATGAATATGTGAACCAGTTGATAGGTAATGCACTATTTCAAGCAAGAAACTATGTGGCCAGAGATACTACAGTGGTGCATGGAGTAGGCTAATAATTAATGATGACTCTCTGATGCTAACCTGACTATATGACCTGGGAGTAAAGCTAGACAAGCATGTCACTGCCAACCTTGTCAAGAGAGATCTGTTTCTTCTTCTTCTTTGTTCACCGGCTGTAAGCTCTGGCAGAAAGTCCTAGCTGTTTGTCCATTTCAACTTTGGCGTTGTGCCGGGGTCTAAGTTTTGCCTATAAATACGTTTTACTGGCTTATATGTGTGAAGCTGATTGTTCCTTGCCACTCGGGCAGATGCACTCCGACTTCAAAGGAAGTCCCCAATTAGTCGACTCCTATGACATGCTCATTGGGGAGATAGTATTGTCCCGATAATGTGGCCCCGGGACTGACACAGGAAAAAAGAGATCTGATAATCAACATCTAAAAGGAACAGAGGGTAGGGATACTCTGGGAGTGCTGCTGCATCTGTAGACAAAGTGCAGTGATGGTGGTCACGACAAGTGAGATAACATCTTTAACATCACCTTTCAACATACCAATAAATGAGGTTGCAGGTCACTCATCCGGGAGCGTTTCAATCTCGTGCAGGAAAATCTTATGTCAAGGTCAGCTTGGGTGAGCTGGTGAATGTTGGCTACAGGCCCTAGCACTGCCGGCTGTGAGCCTGTGGTGTTGGCGGCGATGAGGTAGGCAATATGAGCAGACAACTCTGACAGATGAATCACTGCAGTTGTCAGCTCTTGAGTTCTGTGACAAAATGGCTTCCATTGAATTTGCTTTGCATGAACCTAAAATGATAAAAAAAATAGGAGGTTGACAATGAAACAGGAAGATTCTGTGTGTGCAAAAGGTCGAGAAATTATCATCATGATGTTCAATGCTAATAAGTATCATGGTTTATTTCTAAAATATCAGGAGTTGAAATAAAAAAATATTTATTTCAAAATCAAACGGATTCTTTGCCTGCCAAATGCTAACCAGGCACAGGGTGTTATAACATGATTTTCACAGATAAATTTATAAACACATTTTTCTAGACCAGTCAACATCATATCAGCTGACCTTACTTCCCAGGATATTTTCTGGTACCCATTTTAAGCTGTTATTTCAGTTTTAACATATGCCATTAAAAAGTTGGAGAACTGCTTAAGGTATGAAACAAAAGTTAATTGCACTTAAAAATAAATGCCAGAGTTTGATTTGATTTAAAAACCGACATCACAGCACTCGAGGCATTCCCAAAGCGCTCCGTCCCTATCTTCAGCAGCCAGCAAAGAGTTCCAATACTAATGGTGCCAGCCGCCTTGCCTTTCCTCTCAGCATTGATGCCAGACCCTCTCGTCACTCCCCCCTGCATCAATCTCACCAGACTGTGGTGATCCATCTGCTCCTCTGCAATGTACCACTCTCCCACAAGGCACTAACCACGCCTGCCTCATCATGTATCAGTTTTCCACCAAGCTGTGCAAAGCCAAACAGTCTGTCCGCCTGTTCATTTCCCAACTAACCGGCGTGCCATGGTGAGAAAATCCAGACAATACTCCTCACCCGTGTCCTCCGCAGCGAGGCATGCCACTCTGAACAAAACATGCCTGTCTTGATCTTCCTCAGCATGCTTTCTGAGTCAGTTACAATAAATGCCAGAGGAAAATAGTGAACAGAAAATGGATGAATTCAAGAGCAGTGTAGGAATAACAGAAATGTCTGGGCACCCTCCAGTATCAAAAGTTATAAGACAAAGAAGATGGCGCTATATTGGACACATTCTGAGACAAGCAGAACATAGAGTCACTAAAAAAAGCACTGAAATGGGAAACAGATGGACTGAGAAAGCATCGACATCCAAGAGGATAGAACAGAATGGAGGAAAAAACTGACACATGATGGAACACAACAAGACAATTAATGAACAAATGCATTTTAAGCTGGATTAGTTTGTCAGCCTAGAATAATTTACAATCCACCTTGATGCAGAATCAACCCAAGATCTTGAGCATCTCCTTACTGTGCTCGGTGGCTCCTACAGTCATCATAATCATAGAAAATGTCTATATTCTTGTTCTGAAGACATGGTGGTTGTGATGGTGGCAGCACTAGTTGTTGTTGTTGTTGTTATCGATCCAGCGGCGCATGAGCTTTCGCCCTTTGGCCCAATGCCATGTAGTGGAATTTGCATGTTTTCACAAGCTGTTCTTTTCCTCCGTACAATGTGTTCCACTTGTCTGGTCTCGGAGGGAGTAGCGTTCTTCTTGTCTCACTGAGTTTTGGGTACTCAAAGAGATGGTGTTCAACAAATTCATAGGGGTAGATACATAGCTGGCACTCTGAGGATGGTAGCACTAGTAGTAGATGACTCCTCCCCAAGAAAATTTGAAATGAAAATATGGACAGATAGGATGAAAGGCAGATCAGGGTCTAGATAAAAACAAGAAGTGGTTCAGACGCCAGAAGCTTACCTGTGTAGCAATATCCCGAGACAAGATTAACATCCTGTTCAGCTGGCCAATCACTCTGTCCCGATACCTCACAAAATTATCTTTAGTTAGGTTCAAATCTTCAGCCCGTGTGAACACAGGCCGTGGAATGCAGGAAATAAGCAGCAGCTCAGAAACTGTTTGAATCCGAGTATGGGACTCATCAAACACCAGCACGATGCTTCGAGCATGATCACTCATCGTAGTATGAATCTTCAGTTTAACCAGCAGGTCATGTCAAGTGTGTTCAAAAAGTCATGACTTAATCCTTGCCTTATGTCACTGAAACAAATCATCAGAATGAAAACATTATATTTCAATGTACTTTCATGAGATCATGGAGTTGTGGTGTTTTTAAAGCTAAAAACTCACCTGCTGGTCAAAAGGTGTTGGGTTCAAATCTGCATAAAGACACATTTTTGTGTGTGCAAAAATGACCTTGACTCTCAGGTCGACACAGCTTAAAGTGCATACCAAAGATGGCCAGTATGATGCTGACCCCGTTACCCATCCTGCGCCAACTGCTCTATACAAATATGAGTCTGGCATCATAAACCTGATATGTTACTCGCATGAAAAGTACATTTTCCGTTTCGACTGTTTAGTTTCATTAGATTAACTCATTCAGTTAATACCAGAGTTCAAGGAAGAAGGAGAATTCTTGATTCAAGAGCAATCCCTAATGGTCTATGTGACACTGACCATAAAATAGTTGTGCTAACAGCAAAACATCTTACATTAAAGAAACACAGAAAGAAATTAACCAAAAACAATGATCTCATCAAGATAGAAAATCTGAAACAGGAAGGAGTAAAAGAACAGTTACAACAGAAAGTAGAGACAGCATTCAAACAACTTCCACATGTAGTTGGCAATATTGAAGAAAAATGGAGTAAATATAAAAACACTATGCTTAGTATTGCAGAAGAATTATGTGGAAAACGGAAGAGTGGAAACAGACGGGGAAATAACAAATATTCACCTTGGTGGTGCGAAGAAGTAAAAGACGCAATTAAAAAGAAAAAGGACTTATATAAACAGTGGATAAAATCAAAGAATGAAGAAGATTATATAAACTATAGACTGCAAAGGAGAGAAACCAAAAGGAGTGTCAAGAAAGCAAAACAAGCATCCTGGGAACGTTTCAGTGAATCATTAGCAGAAAATGAGAAAACAGCCAGCAGAAAATTTGTCAAAGTAGTTAAAAATATGCGGAAAAGAGATGAGAGCTACAACCCCACTGAAAAAATTAATGATAAGACAGGAAGGCCATTGATAATTCCACTCGAGATAGCAAAAAGATGAAGGGAATACTTCAATGAGCTCTTTAATCCTCTAGGAGATCATCAGGAAAGAACAACTGAAGAGCACAGAGCAACAGTGTTAGAACCACACATACTAAAGGATGAAATAGAAAAAATCATTAAGCAGTCCTCCAAATATAAAGCACCAGGAGCTGATAGATTACCAACATAAAAAATTCAAACAGCAGGTGAAAGCAGCATCAGATGGCTTCACAGAATATTTAATGCAGCATGGGTACAACAAACTGCCCCTATTGATTGGCAACATGCAATAGTTATACCATTGTGGAAGAACAAAGGAAGCAAACGAGAATGCGGTCAATACCGAAGCATCTCTCTATTAAGCCATGTTGGCAAAATGTATGCCAAGATAATAGAAACAAGACTGAGACCAGAACCACAGCTGGCAGAAGAACAGATGGGATTTAGGAGAAATAGAAGCTGCACAGATGCAATCTTCACACTTAAACAGTTAATAGAAGAGTCGACAGACAATTTTTATGGAAAGTAATGGCAAGATATGGAGTAAGCAAACACCTCATCGAAGTGAGCAAAAGTTTATACAGGGATTGTAGAAGTGTAGTTAAAATAAATCAGGGAAAATCTCATCCATTCACAGTAACATCTGGAGTAAGACAGGGGTGTGTCTTATCGCCACTGCTGTTTATCACCTACATCGACAGTATATGCAAGAATGCCAAGCCCATGAATGAAGTTCTTAGTAAGATCAACGAATTACTCTTTGCAGATGGCCAGGCCTTGATAGCAGATACAGCCATGAAATTGCAACAACATCTAACATCCATGAATGAAGAATGTAAAACAAATAATATGAGAATTAACACTGAAAAGACAGAAGCAATGTCAATAGGAAAAAAGAAGACAGATCTAAACATAGCAATAGAGAACAAAGGCATTAAACAGGCATCTGAGTTTAAATATCTGGGAACTACATTTACCGAAGATGGGAAATTGGATAAAGAAATTAACGTTAGATGCAGTAAAGCAAACCAAGTATTGGGACAGCTAGCCCCCCTCTTACAGGATAAGACAATCCCAATCAGCACAAAGAGACATCTTATTCAAAGCATATTTATTCCAACTCTGTGCTACCAGTGCCAGATATGGTCACTCACAACAAACCATAAAAGAAAATTAGTAACCATGGAAATGAGATGTCTGAGAAGAGCTGTAGGAGTGACCATAAGAAATAAGATCAGGAATGAGATCATAAGAGAAAAAGTCGGCACAGAACCAATTCTAAATTACATACAAAGACAGCAAGTGAAATGGTTTGCCCACTTAGAGAGAATGCCTTGTGACACCATACCATACAAAGCATACATGGAAAGAGAAGGTCGTAGAGCAAGAGGTAGACCAAGAACAATATGGAAGGATAACATCAGAGAAGCTCTACAACAGCACGATGTGCCTATGGTCGAGGCGGCCAGAAGAGCCAGAAACAGAACCTTATATCTCCCTCGACACCCACAGCGGTAAAAGAGGATGTGAAGAAGATAAAGAAGAACTAATTCAGTTCCAAGCAGCTAACCATGTGTTTGCTGACTTCAACTGCCTTGCATCTGGCATCCTACACGTGGAGTTGCTTGCATCGCTTGATAAGACAGAGATCATAAGCATATTGTGGATATTTTGTTTTTTGGTCTCAGAAATGCTGATTTGTGGGGCAATGAGCAGGCTGACAGATTAGCTGCTGTCCCTCCTCTGGGCATTGAGCTACTTTATGATAAAGCAGACATGGTGAAGTCTTCCCGGGATCAAACTAACAGTGCAGTATAACAGAGTTTGTGTTTCCATAAATTTGAAGGAAAAAAAATATTAATTCAGCTTAAATGAGTTTTTAGGGCCCAGAATGCTGAAGAAGGATGCAAAGCAATCAACTGTCTGCATATTCAGTTCAATTTATCGCTAGCTTGACACTTTCTAAGACCTGTGTATCTGTTGATGTTACTATCCTTCTATTTGTCTACATGTTGCTTTATTATCTTCAATATTCCCTCAAGTATGTTTTTATTCAAAGGGAGAGGAGACAAAGCAGACCAACAAAAGCCTGGATCAAAGAATCGGGCCTCGAAATACAAAAAAATCATGTGTAGACCATATGAGAGCCAGAAATAGAAGGAAAATTAAATTAAGTTGAGACAAGAATTTACATCACAGAAGTCGGGGCTTTCCCATATGCGCTCCAACCCCATCTTCAGCAGCCAGCACAGAGTACTAATACTAATGGTACCAGTCGTAGTTGTGTTATATTTCCGTCTTGCCTTTCCTCTGAGTGTAGTTAGCCGGCAAGACCCTCTGGCCACACTTAGGTGCATCCTTTTCTTCAGGCCATAATAATCCAGTCTCTCTTCTGACTTCGTTGCTTGTTCCCAAATCACCCTGACCACATCCACCATGTCATGTATCATTTAATATGATCCAGCCAATCTGTCTGCTTATACGTTCCCCACTACGCCAGCACAGCCTGGAGAAAAGATCCAAAGTATGCTCACAACTCGTGACCTTCAAAGTGAAACTTCCTACTCTTTTCAAAGCAACCCTGTCTTCACTTTCCTCAGCATGATTTTAGAGTCTGTTACAATTATGACATATGTACGAATCTTGTTTTCTAGCTCCCAGAAAAATGCAGTGACAGCCACCACCTCCATTCTCATGCTAGAGTGATATCATTTGCAAGGCTGTCCTGCGCTAAATATTTTTCATTGGCTTTCGCTATGAACCCTAGGTGCTTCTATTCCCTCTCATCACAGAATCATCTGTATAGATAATCAGATCATGGGGATGACATTTGTCATGAATCAACTGTTGGACTTCCAACTCAGTAGCCCCCGATGGCCACTCTCAACACTTCCTGCCTAATGTGATCATAACCCTAAACAGATCAGACTTTTCCGCTGGTACTCTGACCCACTCCTATCCTCTTCCAATGTTCTCCAGCATGCATACTTGTCTTATTGTGTCTTCTTCTTGAGGCATCCATGATTTTCCCTTTTCAGCCTCTGACCCTTAACTGGATCCAGAGCCTCATATCCAGGGTGGTCTTTGTCTGCAGCTACTCTGAGTTATGACTTAGCCAGCAGCACCTTTAGCCTACCTGTAATAGTCGTCAATGCAATTAGGATGCATCACATGCACACAACCGGGGTGTCTCTTGTTCTTCTCAGGATCCCCTGCATAGCTTCATTCTGTGTGCACTCCAGTTTCACTAACTGACTCTTCAAGACAGTGAGCAACCCAGTCCACAATCAATCACTGAGATGATTAAGTGCTGGTACAGTGTGAACAGCATTCTCTGCTCCATGTCCATTGGTGCCATAATCTTTAGTGCATCAAGATCTGTTAGGCCCTTTGTCACAATCTTTTCTGTGATCCTTGAAAGACAAGCTTCTGTCAAAGATGATTCCCAGGTACCACAGTATGCTGTCTTTTTTTATTTCCTGCCATTTATTTTTAGACTTAGAACATCAGCTGTTGTCCAAAGAACACCACAGGAGGCTTGCCTTTTCTGGGTTGAATACAGCCTTCATTTCTGTACAATAGTCGATCACCTTATCTACTGTCACCTGTAACTCTTGAGCTATTTCATTACGATCTCTCTTTACTGCCTATTCATGAGATTATTATCTGCGAATGTCAATATTTTGTCAACTCTAGGTGTTTTCAGGACAGCAATCTTGCTTGTAAAAATGTTGAAAAGTACAGGTGAAATTGCAGATCACTGTGGTAGTCCTGGGTCTATAATACATGGTTCAGAGGTCCATAAACCCATGGAGAGTACATGCCGATGAGAGTACAAAACAGCTGCTATCTAGATCACCAACCAAGGACACACTTCCTTTTCCATAAGCACTGTTATCAAGATATTATATCTGA